AGGACACTTCTTGCTTAATTCCTAGGTATATTCAACTGACCTCTGATGCTCAAACTTTAATGCTTTCATCTTGTCTGGAGGTTAACAATAAAACATGATCAAGTCCCATATTTCAAAACTCTTAATTGTTCATCTGACCACCAAAATGCTCCGGTCTCTGAGTACCAGATGTGATGCTGGAGGCCAGAAGGGCACACCACTGGCTTCAAATGCAGTCCTGCCAATTCACAGACCTGTAGCTGAGTGCTGCCAGAGGAAGAAGCAGCAGCCTAGAACCGATCAATCTGCTGAAATTTTCTGGGTTGATGGTGCTATAAAAAAGCACAGTTGTCAAAACCTACTTTGCAAACATGGTGTCATGCTTGTCACACATAGCCTTGAATGGAGCTTTCCACACCAAAAGCACACGCTTGAGGTGCTCAAGTCTTCTCTCTGAATTGAAATGCTTTTCATCACAACAGTCCCCACCTTAGGCTGCAAATGCAGCTCAGTTTAGGTCTAGCAGTGTTTTTTACCTGCACAACTAAATAAAAATGCTTCCAGTGAAGAGTATCACTCCCTTCGGAGATGCAGATCTGAAAAGATGCAGCTGCCAAGCCATTTCTGCCTTCAGAGGTTCTCTGGCAATACCCAATTAGGGTATTTACATAAATTCAGCCACAAGAAAAAAATAAATACAGGCTCAATTGCAATTAAAAGCAAATAGTCTAAATAGAAATGCTTTACAGCTTAGTACGTACAGCCTTCTGCATTTCCCAAGTGGTCCTTCCCTTCAAACCTGTAAGTTTTTATGATGGGACTCAAAGATTGTTATAACATGAATCACTCAAAAGAGAAGGATATTCAAGAGTTTGATATGTAGCTATGATGACATTCAGTTCAACCATTCATATCTCTTACTGTGCCTAATCTCTGGAGCAACCTGTGGGTCCCAGGCTGATACAATTGCGAGCCAGAGAGCTGAACAAACATGGGAGATATCTGTTATCTCAGCATGCAGGCACTTGCCTTAACCAGCAGTCACTACACTACACACCAGAGTGGCACCCTGCTTTGCACCTCGTGTGCTTGCAGCTAATGCAGTCTAGTACTTTGGTGACTATTTAATCATTAATCATTCAAAACTCTGGTCTTTTAATTTTTTATAAACAACCAGGCCATACACATGGGTAAAAAATTTAGAAGAAGGTGCTAAAAAGTAATGAGACTGAAGAAAGATTGTTAGACTGATTCTTGAAGAATGCTACACCTCATTTAAGATTTTTATTAAGAACACTGGAGAAAAAGAAAAAACTAGTATTTGTTGACAACCCTAAACTAAGAGATACTGACCCATGTCAATACACAACAGTGGAAAGACGGGAGTAAGAGACATGATGACATTTAAAATAACAACAATGTAGAAATAATATTCAGCAAAAAGGTGTTATGAATTCCTAAATGCTGTGGGGAAAGAACATCTTTTGACAATGAGAGAGAAGGAACAGTACATGAATTATGATGGAGATCACAAATCAAGACTAGAGTGCCACCGGGAAAAAAAGGCAAGAGAAATCCTACAGCTTTTCTCTCAAGAATTCTCCACTGGAAAATAGAAGTGTGCCACTGTGATCAGGTTTAAAAAAAAATAATTGAAAAATCAATTCAAACTGGAACAAGCACACAGAGTAATTACTAGGCTAAAACAGGAACAGAGAAAAGTTCCATGCAAGAGAAGATTTTGACTTAAGGAGCATAGCTATACAAACATACATAACCTCCAAAATTAATTGACTGTATCCTACAAATACATGAAAAATAAGCACAAAAGAGAGGTGGACTTTTCTCACCCCCAGAAGTCATCATTGACACTAGAATAAAAGGATATTAAACTGGCCATGAACGAGGTAGTGCAGAACTCATGAGACCTCTCTTAACCACAGCAGAAGTACTCGACAATTAGTTTTCAGTAAGAGTAACTCTAGTATAATGGTCCAGTAGACTAGTTAGAGTATAGGTTGATACACACAATTGTTTCCAGACTGAGAACCACTGAAGGTAGGAGGAGGGATTATTCCTCTATATATAAGCATAACTGTCATGCTAAAGTGAGACCAAATTGTTGAGTTTTTCTTCTCATAAACTCACCATTTAATCACAAATATGTAAAGTATGACAAGTATACTCCTTTACTTACATACTGAGGTATCACAAAAGGTCCTACATATGCGATGCTTTCTAAAGTAATCTCCCCACTCTTTCCTTAATAGCACAAAAAACTCCCCAGAACTTCTCAACAAGGATCAGAGTGATGAACAGAACAGAAATATCAGAGCTACACTGAGTAAAAACTGCAGGCATTTCCACTCTGAGCTCGAATTGAATCTACAGTGCTTCTTGTGGGCAATGCTGTCTGCTCCAGCCATCTGTCTGAATGAGCCTGGGAATAAAACAAACTTGGTAACACCCAAAATTTCAGTTAAACAAATAATTCTCTTCCCCCTTGCTGTGTTTAAATGATAATCCCTCCAAATCCCCGGCTGAGCAGCTGACAGACAAGAGGCAGAAATGCATGGTCTTGCCCTCAGCAGAAGCAGGAACCTTCTGGCCTCACCCAGCTGTACCCAGCAGTGCTACATTCAGCCAAATGAAAGGCATGCACACAACTCCTCTTACCAGTCAAACAAAGCCTAATTTACTGGCTCTCTCTTCCAGCTGTGTTATCTCCATTTGGATGTAACAAAACAATTCAGCCAGAAAACCTTTACTGATGGAGTCCCATTTTCTGTCACTTCCCCAGAATGTTCCCATCTGTCACACTGTACATTTTTCAATCAATGACATTGATCTGTGGCTGGCCTAGTTCATCTGCTGACCAAAAAAACCACTGTCAGCATCGAGGCTCTGGAGCAGCTGTTTAATGTAATTAAACACGTGTGGGCAGGGGAGGAAGCACCCACAGGGACATGGCAGAGGACAGAGAATGGATTTCTAAATTGTCCTAAAGCACCACTGATTTTACTGGCAATGACAGGACACACTCGAAAATGAGGACATGACCTGGAGGCATATTTGGTGCAACAATAGGGGGAAATTACGTATATTCTAATGCAAACAAATCAAGAAAAACAAATCAGCAACCAAACTAATGGAAAAATGTTAGCTTATCAAACTGTTAGCATCCAACAAAACAGACTCCTAGTCTTCCCCCTGAAGATCTGGAAAACATTCAAGATCAACAAGATTTTGAGAAGTACTCTGCTTCCCTAACAAATAATAATAGGGCTTAAAACTGAAATGTGCAATACCTTGCACTGTTAACAGAAAGGCAGTAATTATTTACCTGAGTGAGTTGCTTTATGAATATGGTCTAATTCTTTTTCTCATATATGCACACACAGTATTTCACTGAAATTATTCCAATTATTTTATCTGTCATGCTTTAACTTTTATAAACATAGAAATCAAACTATATAGGAGAGTAGTGGGACTAGAAGGGATAAAAATATTTTTAAAAATCTCAGGGGGCTGGGGGAAAGAACATCAACAACAAGTTTTCTGCTAATAAAGCCTTATATTATTCAATATATTTGTATTTATACTATATGGAATAGTCATGTTGCCCAGTTGGACCCAGGATAAAGTCTTGTTACAGAAAAGTAAAAATATACCTATAACTTGAGTAAATATACACCTCCTTTATACACAGTAATCACATTTCATGTTATGAATTTCTTCCCATGATCAGTGCTACCTGCCTAAGATAAAGTCAACAGCTAAGAGGGAAAAGTAAGAACAACTTTTGCCACAAGTATCAGTAAAGTGTAGAAGGATATATAAAAATGAAGGTTTTCTGATAAAGTGAATTAGGTTCCCTAGCAAGACCAGCAAACATAAAATTCTGACTCTAACTCCTTTGCCTCAAATAAAAGTGTGTAAGACTATTGAAAGGATTAACAGCAAGAGTTTCTGCACATCTCTTCACAATAAACCTGCCTTTTACTGAGTGCCTTATCCCTGACAGTGATGTCAAAGCAGGCATCCACCCAAGCCAGGCAGTGGCAGGTCCTATAGCAGACAGCAGCCCTGTCTCCTACCTGTCTCCTGTTTGCACAGCTTAGAGCTCTCAAGGCTGAAGAAAAGCAACAGACAGCTGATTTCTTTAGACTATTTTTACAGCTTGAAAGTAAACTTCAAGGCTGCATAATGTTAAATATTTGCAGACTGATTCAACAACTCATAACATTCGCTGCCTCTCTCTACTCTTTTGGTCTGGAAACAAAGTCCAACCACTGTTTCCACACAAGGAAAATCCAAGTTCCTACATGGTATATTCAATGTAAAAGAATTTCTTACAGTCATCTGAAAGCATGAAAAGAATCTTTCAGCTATTCTTTATTTCTCAAGGTCTTTCTATTCCTATTCTATTTCTATTCTATTCAAATTTGGTTTTTGTTTAATCTTAAACATGAACAGACAGAAGGAAAAGTTAAAGTTTCAATCAACCTTGATGTCCTTAACCACTACCTAGTTGACAGTGTAATACTGAATTCCATCTCCAACCATTTGAGATAAAAATCTATGTAAAAGCAAAACTAGGCCAATAAGGATTAGTCCTTCATTTTCCACTGGTCTTCCAATGAGACCTTCCACCTACATTAAAGTTGTATCTGTAGTCAGACCTGTGCAGTGCTAATGGGAATTCACAATAAAACCATTCTCCCTCTAAAATTAAATCCCAAGAAAAAGCATTTCCAAATGCATTTTCACAGGAGTAAAAAATATAGCTGTGCCTGGTGTCTGCTTCTGGTTTTAAATTACCTCACATGTGCAATGAGGTTCAGCTTATACATGGGGCAAAACTGCTTGTGTGAACACCTCCTGCAAACCCCAGAGATCCAGACAAGGGAATTCAGAAAGCTACTGAACAGACCAGATGAAGATATTGTCTACAACTGGAGAAGAATGCAAAGATAAAAGCCAAACTCCAATATATAAATAAAACTATGTTTTTAACATACCAGGTAAGATTCTTCCAATAAGAGCATCTAGCAACCAAAAGGACTCCTCTTCATTCTTTGTAATAAGAATCAGGTATCCAGCAATGAAGTTCATACCCTGAAATAGAAAGAAGGGTTTTGAGATGCATACATTTATCTTAGGAGTTTCTAGCTTACTTCTTTTGATTAAGGGCTAAAATACTACAGTTCTACAAAGTGTGCATATTAAATCAATTCTAATGAAGAATGTAATGAAGGCTACTGGTTGAGTAACCTGCTCAACCTGCACAACAACAGCTAACAAATATCATTAACAAAGATCAAGGAAAGGAAAATTAAAAGAAAAAGCTTAGCAGTATTTTTGCATTTCAATTTTGCATTTTTTTAAACTCCAAAGCCCTATGCAACTGAAAGCTGCTTGATCAGAACCCAAACACATCTGTATTAGATGAGCACTACAAACACAACAAACCTGCAGGTAGATAGTGAGGCTGCAGGAGGAGGATGTCTGACCCAAACACACCAAGTAAAATGTTGCAGTTCCAGCAGATTTTACACGCTTTTGCTGCTTAATTCATCCAAAGGCTGTGTACAAACCATTTTCTTCTATATTACCTCCAGTACTCCACATATACATATAATAGCACTGATCCTGTGAGGAGACCAGATGTGCTAAGAATGCACACAAGGGTTTTTAAGTGTTCTTCTTTCGTTAGCCCTTTAAACAGTAAAGGTACCAAAATATTTTATTAACAATTGGACATGTAGAAGCTACTATGGTTTACGAGTTTTGTGTTATGTTGTGTATAACCACCTCTATATAGAAACCTGACACTTGCAAGAGTGAGTATTCATAATTCCACCCCTTCTGTTATTATCAAAATATTAAAATTATGTTTTGATAAATACATATTACTGAAAATAATATAAATCACTCATATTTTGAAGAATGGGAGTAAATAATTTCTGTACTAAAACTAACTAAACTAAATTGGGGTACACAAGAAAATAGGTTTTTTTTAGAGACTTCAGTGTAAGTTGAAGTCCCTCTAGGTCTCCTCTCAAGATTTAAAATGATACTGTTCATATTCTTTCAACTTTGGAGTAGCTGTATTTACTACTAAACTTTACTTTTACTTTACTAACTTTCTCAACTAAAATGAGCTATATCTTAGCACACACTTTCTTGCTCAGGAAGCAGAGGAGACAGGAGAGGACTTAATAAGTGAACCAAAACCACATTTTGCTCAGGACAGTGCCTGCTTCTTTAAGATCCTTAAAAACAGATGCTTTTTTTCTTGACTGTCAGACTATCATGAATCAACTTATCTTCTTTGTCCCACAGGAAACTTTACAGTACTTGACAGTGACAACAGCTTTCTTGAGCTGCCATCAAAGCAGTATCAGGTTGAATTTCAAAGAAATTTTCTTCTTACCTGTGCTATCTATACTGGGAGATGGCATTAAATAAATGCTACCAGCCCCCAAGTACATGACGCCACATTAACGCTGGCCTTTCTGTACTTTGAAAAATGTGACAGTGAAAACAAAGGAAATTGAGATCTCATGATGCCTTGTACATACCAAGGACTGTTTGGGGAAACATGGCAGGACGAGGGCAAGGCAAGCTCTCTTCCTCTTGCTCTCCAAAGAAACTACTCTTCATACAACCATGTGTGATAAAATACTTATGTTGCAACTAACAAATGGAACCAAATTGATCAAGCTGTCTACAAGAACATCCACTGAGAAATTCAGAAGGACTTTGAACTGGGGACACCCCCCAGCCTCCCAGGGCCGGTTTACAAACAGAAATATTTTGTGGGTGTGCTTCTAAAACTACACATGCAAATGGACGAGAACAGTTACCATTGGTGAAATGCAGCATTGTTTACAAAACAATAATTACCCACCTGACAATATCCTACTGCTTTATTATGATGCCCATATGCTACCAATACATTGTAGAGTGCATTTTGCAAACACGGATCAGCGGTTTTGCGGAATTTTACATTATCTGGAAATGTTCTGTTCATGTCTAGACAAAAGGGAAAAAGACCAAAATTAAGAGCTGCTCCTTGTCACTTCCCAAAAAAACTTTTACAGGTCTTCTGAAGTACAACTGAAGCTTCACTGTGGTTCACTGAACTGTTGTTTTGGCAGATTAATTTCAAGAAACTGCTTTACCTCCATTTTGGCTAAAAGGGCACTTTCATTCAAGGATAAAATCTATTCCTGGAAAGAATAATCCTATTAGTGTACAGAAACAAATTTCAAGCGGGCCTAAAGAAATTCTCCTGCAGACTGGACTGTTTCCATGTCTGACTGCAAAGGCTTAAATGAAAGCAAACCAGGTATTTAGACTGACAGACAGAAGACACAGCAAATGTGCCAAGTCAAGTGGCATGAAATGAGTTGTGCCTCTAGGAAAGCATATTCTCGTAACAAACCAGATGAACTTTCAACTGACTTACTCAGTGAACTTCTACCAAACAGTAGCAGCCAAAAAAAATCCAGACCTTTTTCCACAGCTGCCGACTTACACTTAAAAATCACTTTTTAAAATTTAACTTTCTCCATTACGTGATCATGAGAAGAGCTGTGTCTTAACTGGTGCAAGATCATCGAGAATGGGAGTGATTTCTGATAACCAAGCAGCAGAGCACATTTCCACATGCTTCAAGCTCAGTGCTTAACCAAGTCAGGAGAATGCAATTACTGACATTTCCAACTATTAATTTCTTTCAGACCAAACATTTATAGTAGGACTCATATCTCCTTACAAAGGTCTAAAAATTAGACATGCAAGTTTGAGACAGTCACCCCAGAGCAGTCCTTCGTTGTTGGAAAGAAATAGGCAGAGTTAATTTTTGGCCTGCTTCACTCCATAAAGAGAGAACCCAAGGTCACTCGCACAGATCTGTGCATCTGATCTTTAAATAGAATTTTTCTCTCCAACTTAAACATCTAAAAGTAACTCTGCAGATTTTCAAAACTCAAGAGTTATTAATAAAATATGAGTAGTTGTTTGGTTTATATTTAACAACAACAAATTGGGTTAAAGTTAAAAACAAACTTCAGCACCTCTGTACAGATCTTCATGTCCTAAGAATTATCATGTTTTATCAGGCCTTTTCTGGCATAAAGGAAGAAGTCTGTTACAGCTCTGACACACAGTTCAGCTGTAAGCAACCAAAGGAAAAAAGCTCCCCAAAATCATAAGTAGTGTAGTCACATGCATGAAGAAATTATCACACTAATCGCTATTTCTTCCTTTTAAAGGAAACAAATCACTTGCAGGAAAATATTTCACTTCACCTCCCATATGAATGAGAAGAAAAACACAAGGAAAAAGACAATTTTTGAGAGGATCTGAACAAGAGACAGTTACAGGATAAATAAATTTCTTTTGTTTCTTCTTGGTAGGAAGTTTATGCAGCATAGTATTTGCATAATCAAATTTTATTATTTATTAAAGTATATGCTGAATGTTACAGAAAAGATTAATGCTGAATTTTAGCCATGGCTCTTCTCCTCAGCTATGCAGAGAAAGTGAGGGGAGAATAAGAAAAGTCCATACATACAAAGCAGGGACTACTCAAGCTGAACTCATCTGTAATTTCACAACCTGAAATTAAGAGAATCAGCTGCAACTTGTTTTCTGATTCCAGAGCAATTTTTTTCCCTACAAGGACTGGGGGAAGCCTTCCCTAGTTTTATGAAGGATTTAAAACTTTCCTTTAGTAACAATACTTTAGTTTAGGGCAAGGGGATGGAGAGAAAAACAAGATACAAGAGCTAAAAGGCTTTACCCTTAATAGAAGATATGAAGCATGGTCTGACAAGCCTACTTGTGCCAGATTATTACTTTGAGCACAAGAGCAGAGGGTCGCATTCCCTCTACATCCTGCCCTTTCTGCTCCATTTGCATGCTCTCCCTCCCCCTCCAGTTCTGAGCCTCCTCTGACCCAAGGTGAGGGAAACTCAACCCACTCCACGGGCACACACGAGCCAATATGTTTTACCATGCTACAAGATGAGGGTGAGATATGACTTGAGGCAAATGGCAGGCACGGGCAAAGGCTGTTCATCTGGCTTCACCACTTACATCTAATTTAATACATCTGTTCCAGGAGAGACATCCAAACACCTCCTTCTCATGCTCTGCACAGCCTACCCTCTGACCTACTGTCCCTCAATCTGCTTTGCTCTTAAATAGACGTTACTGTCCAAAGGAACACAGCCTCAAACTAGTCCAGTTTTGGAAAAAAAAAAAATCAAGGTTCTTTTTAAGCAGCAAAATGAACATCAGAATCTTACAGCGCTAAGTGTAAAGATAAATCCAAAAATTATGATTATCCTGTCATTATATGCAGATCTGCTTATAAATAAACTAGTATGGGAGTATAGGACCAGGAAGAAGGTCACAATGAAAAGACTAGTACTCTTTGCAGTAACTTCGGATTAAATCCCAATAGCAATTTTTTGGGCAATCTTTCAGCTCTCTCTGAGATGGCACTTTTATGCTGCTATGAAACAAAACCAACCACCAGCTTTGCTGGTGATTTATCTCTGTGCAGCAACCATGAGAAGCCCATTGGCTTCTTTTCTTCTCTCTCCTGGGTCTGCAGTATTTCTACCTCATTCAGTAACACAAACAGGCAGAACACATTAGCCTCAGTTAATAAAAACAGATGTCTATTTTGGTACCAAGAACCACAGTCACTCATGCTATTTCTGGAGCAAAGAGATTTGAAAGCACAGTCCAGAAAATCAATGCTTTTGGAACCAGACTCATGCTTTTCCTACTTAGGGTACTTTGAACGTCAGGCATCTACAAAACAACCTTCTTCACCTTGCTATCTCATCCTTCCTTTTGGTCCTGATTCCAGCCAGGACAGAGTTGATTTCTACAGTACTTGGGAAGGGGTGTGGCTATAGGGCCTGGAGGTTGTTCCAGCAACCACCTCATCACTGCCAGGGGTCTGGGAAAGGGACTGTCTTCCAGGGAGAAGGGGTTCCATCCAGTGGAGAAAGTGGGAGGGAGCCACCTGGTATTGTCAATTATAATTTGTTTTCTTTCTGTGTGAATTGTTTAATATACCTTTTGTTATTAATATTGCTGCTGTTACTGTTCATTTCGTATCTCAATGATGTTTCCAGTAAATGGTTCTTATCTCAATCTGTGATCTTTGCCTTTTGTCCCTCCAACTGGAGGCTGGGAGAGGAACCCTGGTTTTAGTAGTAGTGCTAAATTGAAGAATACATTTCCTAAACCATGTCACTTTTACTTTCATATCCAAGTATTTCCCACTCAAACACATAGGTGGTCAGTAAATTACACAAGTATTTTTATAACTAACATATCCTACTCCACTTATGGTCATTTCTTTGCCACTGCTACATCCATGACTGCATCTGCTCTGAAGAGCTTCCAGGCAGGTAATTTTTTCTTTTTTTACACAGTAGAAAGTAGAGCAAAAATTCACTACAACTGCCAACTACAAGCACTCAAAAACTCCACTGCAAATCCAGAATAACGAGGTCAGATCATAAATTGCAACATGTAAAAACAGTATACTTAGAGAGTATTTTAGATTTCTTATAACTGAGTATTTAGCAGTCATTTTCAAGCTTTTCCCTGCAACACCTAGAACTATAAATTGTTTTGGAGGCTTGGGGGGGTTTGCTTGTTTTAAGTTAAAGCCAAGTTTGTCATTGACTAAAGTCAGAAGAATTGACCCTCACAACCTCCAATACCAAGTAACACTTCAAGAGCTTTCAGCAATCAAGAAAGCCAACAGGGTTAGGATTCCTACAAAAGAGCAATATTGCCACTGTATAAATCTGAGAAGCACATGCATAAAAATTCCAATCTCCTTCATCTCCAAAAGATGCTACCAGAATTAGAGAAATTACAGAAAAGAGTGGTAATGAAAAAGACCACAGATATGAAATGGTTACCATTCATAGCATAAACCCAGGTGGATAAAAGCTCCTTAGTTTAGAGTGAGATGCTTAACAGCATTTTGCAGCACAAATCTGCACAATCATGAGCATGGTAAACAACATGAAAAAGGAGCAACCAGGAGGGATTTTGTGAATTTTTTTCCCCATCCAGCATTATTAGGTACAAACATACACCATATGTCTTGGCAACTCTCCAAACAGCAGATAACTGGAGACTAGGAAAAACGTTCTAAGGAAGTGTCACTACACACTTTACTCCTCCAATTCTCCCTTCAGCTGTTCTGGTACACCAAAGACCAGATGAGGCAGCTGCCTGGACATGACCTGATAGGGCTCCCCTTACACAGAGCCACAAGAGTTGACAATGCTCTTCCCCTTCCTCTTGCATGGTTAAATGCTTGAAACTCACACGAAAATTCCCAACTTCCACTCACAGTTTCAAAGAAGCTTCTTAGTGCTTTGACAGCAAAATATTTCCTGTCTCCAGTGAAATGGCAATGGCCATTGTTTGAATTACTTTTCTGAACTCATCATTAACTATGATCCAGTCCCCAGTCAGATCCTTATGCCAGCTGTCACACAGCACAGCTCAGGCTCTGGGACTGACTGATAAGTATCAAATCATAGGTTTCACAGCACCTACAATTCCTCCTCGTGAAATGCAATAGTGGAAACACAAATTAGCAGCATGTATGTGCCTGAGCACTTGCAGACACAGACACACTTCGGTCCAAAAGCATGTTTTTTCAATGGAGAGAAAAGACAAGATACAAGAGCTGAAATTCAAAACAGCCTAGCCTAAGGGGAGCTTACTCCAAGGAAGCTACAACTTACAGTCCAGTCTTTTTGCACCCAGCACATAGCCTCTGCATTAGGACAGCCACTTTTTATCTTACAATATCATTTGTCCTACTAAACTTTCCTATAATAGGCCATGAAAAACAAAATGTTGCTGGAATGCATGACCTTTTAAATGTGTATTTAAACTATGACACAAAAATTTAGACACCTGCATTCTTTAAGCTCTTTTTTAATGGTTAGAGTAAGAAGCCTGTTCCCTTCTACATTTTTCTCAAAAAACCAAAAATGTTCAAACAGCAAATACCATATAAAAGTAGCAAAAAAGCTCATCAGTTCAGAATCAGGAAGTTAAAGGGCAAAAGTGGTGAAAGAACAGATTACAGATTTAATTAGCTGAAAGACTTCCATTGCTATTACTAATCAGATTTTTCTTTAAAGATGAGACCATTTCTTTACACAGACTACCTGCCGTTTTTAACCTGATTATACCACATTAAAGACTTTCCCATATGAAAACTAGTTTCAAACATACATTGTTTACAGTAATGGGAAAACAACACTCGAAGAAACAAAAGGAAAGACAGTCAACAATTCACACCGAAAGAATCTTTAGCCAAAGCTCACCATAATATGTGCACAGTCAACAGGAGCACAAGTTCATTAAACACACTAACCAGAAAGGTTCTTTCACCTTAAGTACTTTATTCCTTTCATCCCTCCTATGTCCACATTGGTTCTTCATTTCTGAAGGACTGTGTGAACTCTTCATTATATTATTTCCCCTCCAATAAAATCTTCCATACCATTTTCTTTATCTTTCCCCTCACTTGTTCCATGTTAATTTTCTCTTCTGCAGTATTCCAATCAATGCAGTAGCTCTTCTGAAACTTTATTTCCTCCATAGTTCACAAATAAATCTTTATCATCTCCCAGTATTTTTCCTCCCCGAGAAAAATATTTTTATTTCACTTCAACCTGTGGGGAAAGCCACCTACTGACTCTTCACATCTTTGTCTAGTACTGGAAAAAAGTTGTTTTCAACTCTCTCTTGCAATAATTTTACTCCAACTGAATAGTTTGATGCCTCTCCAGACCTTTCCCAAGATGGACTTTAGAAAGTCGTCTTACTACCTCCTTCCTTATTCATAGTAGGAGCTCTACTGTTTCTTGTTCTGAGCAGGATATAAGCCTGCAGATTTCTGGCAAGTCTCCATATTCATAGGAACATAAAGTTTATGCTCCTAAATACCTTACTAAGGCGTGTAGTCTCAAAAGCCCAAAGTAGTGCTGTTGCAGGGAAAGGCAGAGAAGAAACTCCACATAAACCTAAAGTGTTTGGATGCTTCTCCAACTCAAATAAAAATCCATAAAGCCCAAACTTTAAGTACCTGTGTTTTTGCAAGAGAAAAAAGACAACCTGCCTTTCTAAGCAAATAGGTGCAGGACTGTTCCAGAGCAGAGCCCAACCTCTTGACTTTCTAATTGGCAATTCAGCCATTATCAGCTTTGCCACAAAGGCTCTGCTGTAGCAGGTTTCAGGACAAGTATCAGTTACATCAAACTCCTACTTGTTTGTCCTCACCTGCTGCCTTTTTCCTCCCAGTGGGCCAGCCTAAGTTCTGGTTGCCCTTATACCCTGCCACCAGTATTGGCCACTGATCAGTGATCAATGTTCACAGAAAGCACACATGAAAAGAGACTAATAGACAAGGGGTATTTCACCTCCTACATTTCTCCCAGGGATTTACTTTTAGTGTTTAATATTTCATGCATCAAGTGGATTCCCCCATCTGTTTATGAAATTTTGTTTAAACCAGTTCAAACTTCTAACCCCTGCAGCAACAGGTGCCACAACTCTTCTAAACCTGCAGCATAGCAAATTTCAGTGTCCTTGGTTCTAATGTTACAAGAAACAAATAACAATTGCTCCTCATTCACCCTCTCTGCACCATTTATAATTCATATAAATCTATCAACAGCTTTTTCTTATCAGTCTTCTTACTCAACCTAAAATCCTAGCATAGTTCAACTGCCTCATATGGGCCTCTGTACCAGATCTTCAACCATCCCTGTTGCTTCTCCAGTGTCCTATGGGACAGAATTAAGCAGAAACAGACTCAAAGGCAAGTGTCATGACTCAAAGTTACAACTCTTCAATCACTTAGATGACCCTGTAATGTTTTCTAGTTTAGTCCTTCTCAAATTATTTCTAATCTTCCTTAAAAGCATTCCTTAATGCTTTTAACCACATGATGAACCTGGAAAGATCTGTGCTGCTAAGGAGCTTATGGCTAATCTAATTTAAATGTTATTTCAGCACTTAAACCACTACTACAGAAACATTAAGTTTTCCATGACATAACTTGATCTCTAACACTTAAAGACATAGGATGGATAAATGAGGATAAACAGCATTATCAAGAGAAATAACCTGTTTTGATTGCTTCAAGCAGCTTGGCATTCTTCTCTCCTTCAAGCAGTCTGTGGTAGTACCCAGGGTTTTGTTCCATGTTGGTTTGGGCCCCACTCACAATCATCCAGACCAACGCACGGTGTTCATTGGGGATGCCTTTCCTGATATATCTCTTCACTGCAAAACAAGAAGTTTGGTTTTGTTTGTTCATTCTTAAATAAATAAAAAAAATTCCATCCATATTATTCTTTTTCAAATGAGCAGCCTGAAGTTAAGACATCATAGGAAAACACTTGACTGAAGATTATTTTATTTTCTCTCCTATACTACCATTTTAGGATAAGCTTAGGATTTACTTCTCAACTGCACAGTATATTTTAGATTCACTCCTAAGTTCTTGTCACTCAGACTTCCCTCTCAGATCTTCACACCCAGGTTTTCCTCCCTCCTCTCTTCCCTTGCTAGAATTTTGAATCCTTTCCTTTTCTACTTTCCTGGATGGAGATACAAGCAGCAGTTTCCCTTTGATCTTTGTCCTTTTTCATTCAGACAAGCACTGACTTGACTTTTCCTACATCACCAGTGGCCTCTGACATGATGGCTGTAGCATCAATGGTCACATTTAGCGTAACCCTAGCGCTTCAGCTTAGTGCCTGACCTCTGAAATACAGAAGAAACTGAGGAATATGCCTCCTGTCTGAATGAGCCCTGGAAAGAACTGGAGATGTGAGTGAGCAGCAGATGACTTTTTCCTAGAATAACTGTGGAAGTCTTCTCAAATCTAAAGTAGCTCTTATCTCCTGCATCATTTTCATCATAAGGGTGTGCTTCAGGGGGGTTTTTTAAGCAGATGATTCAGTGTAAATAACTATGATGAAAGAGTACAGGAAGAAGCATCAAGCTAATGACAACAAAAGCGGCTTCCTGCTGGGAATGGTATGAAAAATATTAATAAGGAGTCAATGCTGCTTATGGGTACATAATCCTAAATCAGTGTTACCTTTTCTGACCCAAAAAGACAGTTAAATGTTTGAGATTCTTCTCTTTCCTTTGGGGAGAAGAAAGCGACAAATGAAACAGACATTTTGTACTAAATGAATCATGTTGTATCAATAAAAGCATCAACTTCTCCTCTCAAAATTTTATGGGACTCAAATCTGAGTGAGGATTTTATTCCGCCCACATTCTACCACACACAACATTATCACTACCTAGCCAGGTTTTATTGAATCACACAGTTCTGTAATAAATGCTGCCTAAACTAAAGGCCTGAAAAACAGTAGAGTGAAGCAAGGCTGTACAACCCAGCCAGACACCTTCTCAATACACTCCACCTAATTACAGCTGTATATCCTTTAGGACCCAAAGCTGCTTCCCTCGTGCCACCCAACATAAACATGCACATATAATGAGCATTTCACCCACGTAAAATCTGGTGTTTTCTCTCAAAGAAACATATTTGTAATAAATGCCTGGTCTTCAGGGTACAGTTTTTGTTTAGCTTTTCAATGAGGATTTATATTACAGGTTACAGGAACTCTACAGTTCTAGTTATAAAGTCATCTTAACTACAATCTTCTTTTAGACTGGAAACAATTCACTTGTTTCCATGGTGGTTCAATAACCCCCACTTAATATTTTTTACAAGATTTTGAACTGTAATGCTCAAGAAATCCTGTAAATTGACATAGCAAATACAGGAATGATTATCAAGGATCAGTCCCATTTAAATTAACAAAGAGACATTCAGATGAGTCTAGAAACAAACTTACTGGCTAAAATACTGTATTATCGCATTTTAACACATAATCCCAATGGTATTTTTTTCTGGAACAATTGCAAACTCTGGAAGCACAGCCAACGTTGATATCCAACAATACACATTAAATCCAAGAGAAGCATGGACAAGCCTTTGACAGTAGCACAAGGAGAAAGCAGCCTGCAGCACAGCACATACTCATTATTCCTCAGTGTCATCGTTCTCATGGCAATAGATAGCCAGGGGCTTGTATCACCCTAAGTGACTACTGACCCAGCTCCCTCACTCCCTGAGGAATCCAAAAGCCCTTTACATTGTGCTTTTTTTCCTCACACCATTGTAATACTTGCTAGGATCTGCAAACTGGCATTTAGAAACAGCAAAGTAGTTTTGAAAAGAAGGACAGCTGCAGTTTAATATATATCATTTATATATTTATATAGATCATTCATATATTTAGATAGATATAGATATATCACATTCTATACATAGAATTGTGTTTATCCAAATATATACATATAAATATTTTTAGGCTCTCTTCCACATATCCTTGGGAACTAAGAAGTCCACAACAACAGTTCACACTGTAGAGTATCCTCCCACTGTAACATCTGAGAAGCTTTCCCGGATGAAGTCAGATCATGCATGGGTCTCCACCCACACATCCAATGCCAGTTGTAAACCAAGGTCTTGATCTCAAATGTAGCACTGTTGTGCAGCCCGCAGTACTGCACACAGAATCACTCCCAGAACAATCATATTATGTGGTCTAATTTCTAGAACATACATAGGTAAGAAATATCTTAATGTAAAATTTTTGCCTCTGTTCATTAACAAAATATGAAACAGCAACTGTTAAGAAACCCTCTCCCCCTCTTAATAATTCAATTGCCTCTGACACTTAGTGCTAGTTTCACAAGCTCAGAATCACACTTTATGAATGTGGTTTCCTTTTTACAAGAAAAAACAGCTACCTGATAGGGTAGCAGTCTAACAGTGATGATAAATACCCAAAGTAACTTCAAGATAAAAATATGCAGAAAATAACATCTTTCTAATACTGTACATTACTTATAGTAACAAGATGTAAACATAAGTAATTTCAACCTGCCTGTCCTTGTTTGATGGTAGAATATGAGAATTTTGGAGATTTCTGCTTCAAGGTCAGTATTGTACTGCCTTTTTCCCCCATTAACATTGTTTCACTCTACAGCATAGACACAGTTTATGTAGCAAAAAAAAAAAACCCGAACATTTAAAACTGAAAATTATCTCATCTTAAAAATATCAGAAGAGTGTGATTTCAAGAACCATCTGCACTTCTACTTTTTCAGGTACTAAAAATTACTGTTGAATGTTGAGGAAATAAACCTGGGCCCTAGAAGAAAAATTCTATAGAAGAGCTGGAAACAGCATACAAGGAACTGAAAGCTTTATTTCATGAATACGTAACAGAAGAAACAGAGCAGATCAGTGCTGTAAATCTTAAAAGTTCCAGTCAAACTGCCTTTTCTTCCACCAAACCCTGGGTTGGAACAGAAGTGCTCCTGTTATAACCACTGTTTAATACATTTGCTTTTCCCTTTCACTGTATTTTATCAAAGACCAGAAAGTATCTTCTGCTACTGGTCACTTTTGACTAATCCACTAACAACCAAATTCTTTTGTGTAGCATGAATTTGGTCAGAATTCGGATACTTTGACCAATTATGTCAGTGTGTTGCCCACCTGTAAACAAAACAGAGCATAAAGTTGCGTTTTGGTCCCATAAAGATAGAGCTGAATGAAGCAAGGAAAAAAATTGAGAGGATTTCAGTAGTGGCAGAGGGAGAGAGAGAAAGAAGGCAGGTGAAAAACAATGACTATAAACTCTCATGTGCTGTGGAAGCAAGGTGAAGATAAGAGGGGGAAACAAAAAAAATACCAGAAAAATAAGAAAAAGGAAGAAACTGGGGAATGAGTGAAAGGAACTGTCAGCCAAAATTCCCATGACCCACCCTGCCAGCAGGCTGCAATACAGAACAGGATACACTGCTTAATTACCATTGTCAAAACATAGTCTAATTATTTTTCTTTATAGTGGAACAGAATTATATACATACAAACCACCCTGGATATGAGGCAAACCCAGTAGCATGTGAACATGCCACATTTCCAAACTGGAAAATTAACACAGGTCATCACTTCTTCCTGTTCGCCTGGGCAGAAATTATGAGCTTCTCCATGTGTAGACAAATGGGTGTGGAACTACTGAGATACCACACATACACTGTCTCTCATATCTACTCACAGCAGGACACACAACACTGGTTCACAGCTACTGTGTTTGGGGAGGCAGGTCAAATATTCTTCTCAGTTCTAGCTTATGGCAGAGCCAGCAGCTCTGAGCAAAGCTTCATAGCAATGAAGTCAGGTACTGGAGGAGGGAAATTCAGTGAGTAACCAGCAGAGCTTCTGCTATTTGCCCACAAGGTAATCACTTCATAATCATCTTGCAGGATAAAGCACACACCTGCTTACATAATTCCATGTGCATGTCACAGACTTCAATCTTAATACTGAAATGAGAAGGAAAGTATTTAAAAATCAGTAATTGCATAGGTCAGCCGTTCACTCTCCTCCTCTGAAGTATCAGATGAGGCTAATGCAGAAAGCTTTTTGTAATAACTCTGAATCTACACTTCAACTACATTTCCTCAATATTACTTATCCTTGTCATGCTCCCTGGAATTACATGTATACGTGAGAATCCATAGCCTAGAAATCCAGGTATCTTTAGCAGAACTCAGTAACGCTGAAGATGATGCACCAGCCCACAAGGACGTGCAACAGCCTAGAGCCATTGCCTGTGCCCCCTCAGAGGATTTACAGAATCCCAGTTTCCAAAAAGAGCAACCTGCTGGAGACAATCAAAGCCACGTTAAAGGCTGCATCCATTATGTGCCCAGTGGAGCAGCATGACGATTGGTTCTGAAGCCTGGTGGACAAATTGAGAGATTTGGTCAAAATTTTGGCTCCAAAATAAGACCAAAGGCATTCATAGTTAGTATCACAGTAACATTCTGTTTCTAAAATGCTAAAACTGGGAACACAAAGAAAGAGAAATGAAGTGAACTCACAGAAAATGCTAAAAGCTGCCACTGCTACCAATCACACATAAAGAGAAAGGTATGAATCAAAACTGAGATTATTTCTCCTCAACTAGAAAACTAAATTATGCAAAATCTCAAAATCCTCACTAATTCAAAATGGCATGAAGTTTGCACTGCATTCAAACTTGACACCCCAAACAAAAGCATCTTTACATTTCTAAGAAAAAATAATACAGTAGAAGCAGATACTTTCTTCTTAGCAGCATATGATCTAGCAGCTATAGCTCAAACCTACATTTTCTGGAATTTCACACCCTTAAAACAGACATCTGTACACAAAATACACTGTTATATTTAAAATGTCTGACTAGTTATCATCCCATTCCTGGTGCCAGGGAAAAAAACAACCCCAAAACAACAAAACCATCAGAATCATGAGCCAAAGGCTGTGCCTGGAGCACAGTTCTAAATACTTAACCCATGTTACAATATCTGAATAGTCTTTCCTTAGTTTTACTCAATTTTTCCTTAACGTACTTCAGAGAACTTTGCCCAATTCCAGAAGACACCCAAAGAGAAAGCAACCTGATTAGCACCATTTAGACCGAACAGGAAAATTTAGATGCTTATATGAAAACAACCCAGAGAGAGTGGGAGGAAACTCCACCCTTTAGTTTCACAAGATTCCCTAACACCTTCTGACTCTCTCTATTTGTTTCTACCTGTATCTCTTGCAAGAGATAACACATTATTAGACGTTTTCATGCTCTTAGAAGCAGACATTAACACTTCCATCTGCATTTTATCCAATGTTGCATTAGTCCCTGCATTAATCTCACTTTCTTCACTTAGTAAGGCATTTCTCATCAGCTCTCAGCACACACCTTTTTAACTGCATGGTTAATGTCATTTTACAAAAGGAGGATAAGGAGGGCTAGAAAAATCTCAGCAGCCTAAAGAACTGTTAAAGAGGCAGCAACTGAGAGCACTAACATCCTGATCCCTGGGGTTCAAGACAGCATCTTCTACATAATCTCATATCTTTTAAAAGAGAGCACAGAGTACAATACACCCAACAGCTGCAAAACGGCATCTTGGAGTGTCAGTGGCCACAACAGCTGGGTTACAGATGTAACAAGATATTTGTTGCCTGAAGAGGGATTACTCCTTTGGAAGGTTTTAATGAAATCCCTCTAACAACAGCATATCTGCTTATGCATTATTTCTGTTTATACTACTGGCTTTCATTTGAAGACAGAAATAGTATTCAACATTCAAAAACAGAAATCTATTGAACCCTAACATAACACAGTTTTACCTATAATGAGACACAAAGCTCACCTTTTAAACTCTTCTGTATACTGTTATTCCCCTTTAGGAGCTTGGACCATTTTATTGCTCTTCTAGTGAGTACCACTAGGTATCTGGAAAAGAATGCTTCATAGGATGCATAGTCAAAGTCTTCTGGCCTTTCAAACCCATATGGATCAACCCTACAAAATAAAAAGAACTCCTATAATAATGTTTCTACATAACTACAGCTGAAGAAAAATAACAAAAAAAGCAAGCATGCTTTAAATAACTTACAGTTGCTATTTCTAAAAGCAGCTTAAGGCTCCCTCCTCCCAGCAAAAACCTACTTTACACATCCATTTAGCATATCAAAGCTGTTTAAGTAAATTAATTTAAACATGCACTGTTTGCTCAGTTTCACAGATTTCACTGGGTTTTTAAGTAAGGCGTTTTTGGAGCAAAGGACCCATCGTGTACAAAACTGACACAAAATTATGGCCACATAAGTCTGGGAGGTATTTTTCTCCACAACACAGACGAACAGTTGAAAAGTATGAGGTACAGCACAACAGCTCCAATATGGCCTGAATTCTCTTCACAGGCAGTTCTGTGCAGAAAAATGACAACAAAGTACAAGTGTAACAAGTTACAAAGGTTATTTTTAAACTGGCAATTTCTGCATGAAAATATACAACATGGAAAAAGACAAATCCTTGTGTCAATCTGCCTTCTTCATGTGTAGTACCAAAATGCTTATTTTATTATCTTTTACAATTGTTCAGTGTTACAGCACATTATCTCAGGCAGCACAATAATGACAGAGCATCAGAACTCCATGGCTCATTCTGCTCTAATATACCAACTCACCTCGCTAAATTAGATTTATCGCAACTTCCCAGGGTGTTCCATACCTGCAAATTACCACCTGAGTACAGGATATTAATGGGCTTCACAGAAGTTAAACAGGCAGAGGGATCTGCCAGTCAGACAAGGTTTCTAGACAGACTTCAGGATTTAACTTCCCAAAACACTGCCTGTTTCATTCATGAAGAAGGAATCTGGCCATGGAGCAGCATCAGCACAGCCTTGGGAAAACTGGCTCACGGGAGCGTCACAGGTAGTAAAGCATGAATCAGACGAGGAACAATTAAATATTCAGACCCCAAGTTGGTATTACATTGTTGGCTGCTTAGAAGAACACCTTATTATTCATGTACTCCTCAAATCTGACACAAAAACCACAGGTGTAAAAATCAACGATACCGACACAGGTTTCTTTAAAGACATGAAAGACAAGAAGAACATGAAAACTCACACACACAAAACACTCTCACACGTCCACAAACACACATCTCTCATTTACGACTGCGACTGCCCAGGCAGCAAATACAGATTAATTTCATGCTCCACTCCATTCCTAAGGCAGAAAAGGAAAAAAACAAAGAGCGAAGACGCAAGGTTTTAGGGGAGCCCCCTGCTCCGCCTGTCCTGGGGCAGGGAAGGCTGCGGCGGCCGCTCGCTGCCCTCAGCCGCGCCCGGGCCGGTGTGTGGGGGCTTCCCCCGGCCGCGGCCCCCAGCAGGGCCGGCTCCGAGCTCGGGGGGCACAGCTCGCCCTCCCTGCGCGGCCGGCGCCCTCCGAGCCCAGCCCTGTCGGCAGCCCTGTCGGCAGCCCTGTCGGCAGCCCTGTCGGCAGCCCTACCTGTACGCCCAGTCCCGCCCGTCCTCTCGCCCCGCCATCGGCCGCCCCGCTGGCGCCCGGCGGGCGGGCGCTCCCAGGCCGAGCAGCGCCGCGGCCGCGGCCCCGCGCCGAGCTCCGGCTCCCCAGTTCAACTCTCTGCCGCCCTGCGAGGGGCGGGGGCGGCCGCCGGGCCCGCCCCGTGCCCGGGCCGGCAGCGGGCAGGGCACGGCAGGGCAGGGCAGCTCCGCGTCCGCGGGGCCGGCCCGCCTTCCTTGCCCGGCCGCCTTTCCTGCCGGCCCGGCCGGGAGACGCGGATCTGGTGCTAATCCCAGGTTAGATGTGTGCGTTTCACATTTCGCTCACGTCGTGGGGGGGAAAAAAAAAAAAAAAATCAAATTTTAGCGCTAGGGAAATGTCTCATTAGTACGGGGGGAAAGTGGTTTCAGGTACAGCTCTTCAAACCCAAAGAATTTCCCTATAACCAGGTAGAAGAGGTGGTTGTGTTATTATTTAAGTTTGCTGGCTTAGTTTGGGATTATTTTTTCTTCCTCAAATCCAAAAATGGTTCTTTTTAATTTCCCTTAATTATTCATTACAGTCAGAATCACAGAATATTCTGGGTTGAAAGATGGACCCACAAGGATCGTAAAAAAGCCCAACTTCTGACCCTGCAGAGGACACCCAAGAGTCACAGCATGTGCCTGAGAGCATTGTCCAAACGCTTCTGTAACTCTGTCAGACTTGGTGCTGCGACGACTTCCCTGGGTGACCTGTTCTAGTGCCCAGCCACCCTCTGGGTGAAGAACCTTTTTCCAGTACACTGAAATATTGCCAACTTCAGCTTCTGCTGATTAGTTCCCACTGTAAACTAACATTCATTTAGATACGATTTAAATAATAGATGCAGATTGGAAAAAAACCGTGGAGTATAATACAGAAAATTATACTAAAAGAAATGGCTTCCCCATTTCCAGAATCCACCTCAAAAATTAACACACTGTTCATGTTAAGAGGTCTTGAACAAAGCCTGAAGCTCACAAGGACTCAGTCCTACCGGATTGCCAGCAGCTGAATTCATAACACCCCGCAAACAGAATGGAAAGAGCAAAATTATATCCCTGCTTGTCCTTTTTCGAACCGAGTTCTGACTTTGCACCCAGCAAAGTGCTTGGAAAATTACAGCTACTGCTGGGGAAACATTATCTTTTTCAGCCAGCAAGAGTTGCTGCAGACAACAGATGGGATTTCACAAGGAAGATCAACAGTTCTTCCAGCACACTCTTTAGGAAAGCTACCTTTCCTCTGCGGGATCACGGGCAGTCACCCACACAGAAATGTAAAAGTAGCTCCAATGGCAAGGAAAAGAAAATAAAGAGGTTTGTACTTGGTTTAACTGCCATTGCAGTGCTGTGAAAATCTGTGATTGTTCAGCAAAACGTAATTATTACTTTTTTTGTGCGGGGAGCATGGAGGGAATTCTGTGCTTCAGCGGGTATAGATAGGGCTGCTCCTGCAGGAGGACGGTCCTGCTCAAATTACTGTGCGGCATCACGAAGTCGCTCGGGTTCTGGCACAAGTGGAGCGTGATTGCAGCGCAGCCGGGGAGCGCCGGCCGGGGCCGCTGCCAAGCCGGGCTTGAGTCGCCGCCAGCGTTGCCTTGGCGGAGCGTGGGCAGAGGCACGCTCAGCAATCAGCTCTGCCCGGAGAGATGGCCACAGACTCACAGAAAGTCCTTGGCAGAGGTGCGAATAGGAGGCAACGTTGTCCCACGGAAGAAAAGAAGGAAGCCTCAGTTAAGAAGAATATCCTTTTCGCCTCTAAATCCTGAAACCGTAGATTTGCTAGGTAACAGTTATACTTCATCTGTCAACATCAGGCCCTTTGGTGTGTATGCCCTTTAAAATGGATGAATCAAAAGTTCCCTGCAAACAGCAGACTGTTTCTGTGATTAATTAAGGTACATCTGCTGTGCGTCAAGGGTAGCCTTGTCTATAGCACAGTGTACTTTTACTCAAGCCTCAAATGTTATGAACAGTTTCTTTCGGTCTAACACAAACACAACTGTGTGGCTGACTCAGATTTATGCTTGTTACACACAAAAGCTCCCACTAAGAATGCTTAGGTTATTAATTGATTAATGGAAATAATTCCTGAATTTCAGCACAATAATTGGATCCCCATATTTTGTCTGATAGTACAAGCCAGCTCACTGTATTGCAAGAGAGAATACCTTGGTTGTCCTTCCCGGGGTATCAATGCTGCTCTCTTCTGGGCAGATGATACCATGTTGCTTTTAAAGGCATTCAAAGCAACTAAAGTAATAAATCCTTGAATCTGAAAACTGCTTTGGTGGTGTGATCAGCAGAAAAGGATACTATTTACTTTTGATCCTTTACTTCTGGAGGAGCTGGTGACAGTGGCAGAGTGCAAAAGGGTAGGCTTAGCTGACGTTCGGACCAGTGAAGCTCACAGCCTTCCTATCTGCCACCCGGTGCAAAAGGAAATATACCTTACTTAACTTCTCTCCCACCCCCTTTTTGCATATGAACCTTATCCCTGAAGTTTTTATGTTACGGTGAACGTGTGTGGTAGAAATTATCATCGTTCTGCTCCCAGAGTAAAATATTGACTCCCTTAAAATAGTGACTTCCCTTTAAGGGTAGGCATTTAGACATGGTGTTCCCTGCACAGGCAGATGAAGACAGCAGATGAGTGTTTCACAGGCTGAGGCGTTCAGAGCTTTTCTTGTCTCATACCCTGCATTTTAGTGAGCAAGCCTTCCATTCTTGAGTTTGCAGAGCAGTTGCTAAATAATGATACCAGGATGATTGTCAGCCTTATCAGGAATTATTCTGGAGTGGCTTCATGCTTCCTAAAATGTGACATGTGTGCCACGTCACCTATGTCTGATGTATCAGCAGTGCTGAGATGTTGTCCAGTTCCTCATACACCACCCCACAGCCATTGCTACTCTTAAACCCAGAAGTGGAGAAGGAGCATCAGGAGAAATTCCTTAATAATATTTGTGCTGGAAGTATTGGTTTGACTGCCTGTGGGAACCATAAGGATTCTTTATCCATGCAAGAATAGAAGAAAATATAGTTATTAGGAAGAAATATCGTTATTATTTATTATTTAAATATATATTTATATTATTTAAATATATATTTATTATTTTGAATATCAGATATGTGTTTTTTTCCCCTGAGGTTCCTTTTTTGCTAGCTTCAGGGAGGCCAAAGAGTAGAAATTGTTAGGGGAAAGAAAAGCACTATAGGACTGAGAGTCCTATAAGGTGTGTGTGAATATGGGTGTACATGGATATAGTGTGCCTAATATTTTTAAAACAGCACGAGTCAATCTGTTCATAAGAAATACCAGTGAGAAACACCATTTCCAGCAAAGGTAGCAGCTCTGCTTTTTTATATCCACACAGGAATTTAAACTTAAAAAAACCTTAACTTCTTACAAGATGGTTTAATAGCCCCTGTTTAAAAAATATGAATGCAGCAGCATTGAAGAAGAGATAAAAAGATAATTCTCAGTACTGACTGGGTGCTGTAGTATCCTAAGTAAGGGATGAAATTCCCACAGCATACGTGGTTTCCCTAGCTCATGTGATTTTCCGTACAGCCACTCATCTTTCTGTCTGTACTTGGTTAACCATGCCGCACAAGTGTACCCTGCTTCCTTGGAGCTCTACTCTGGCTGGAGCTACTTTCCCATGACCTGAAATAAATCTGCTGCTCCATACTTGGGGAAGATAGTTAAGGTTGAGTAGATTTGGCAGTATAGAATATCCAGTAAGAAGTAAACATTATCTATCTATCTATCTATCTATCTATCTATCTATCTATCTATCTATCTATATCTATATATCACTGCTTGTCTATATTATAACATAGACATAATGTGCTCCAGGACTAGACAACTCATCCAGCTAATGAGGTTAAGGAATGCAACCATCACATCCAGACACCTTTAGTTCCTGTTACAACCAACTACCTACCAAGTTTAGTCAATCCTCATCTACATATGGATTAAGGCTCTCGATCCATAACAAAATGTAATGAAATGCTGAACTTGCTCCATGTTTTTGTCCCAGCAAATTGCATCATGCTTACATAATTGTAGTCTGCAGGCCTGATTAAACCTGTTCACGTGAATTATTCCTGATGGAATGCTGATGCATTCACTGAACTTTAGAACAGACTACATAGCAAGGACACAAATGTATTTTTTAATGTTAATTTACACTATTCCCTAAAGGCTTCACAGCTTCATGTCTATGAAGGTTACTGGCTGTTAGGACAAGTTACATCCCCGCATAGTCTGGGAACCGCCAGTATTTTGATAATTCTCAGTATGACTGTGGCCCTGGGAGTCAAAGCATACTGATAAGAGCATCTATAAAAAGGAGCTCTAAAGCTTGCTGCATAGCACTGCAGCTGCCTGGAGAATCAACATTACCCATGGAAACCTCTGCAGAAAGGTTTCTGCACTCAGTTGCCATCCTCCAGCTGCGTCAGAAGAGAAGGCTCAAGGCTGTAAGTGACAATACTGGAAACAGCAGGGGAAGAGAAATTATATGGTATATAAATTATATGCCCTCGGTGTGAAAAACACAGCAAAATTACATGTCAAAAGTGATATGGGAAAGACACTTAAATATTATTAGCAGGAAGCATTCCTAAGGCAGGGACAAGGGTGTTACCTTAGGAAAAAGGTCAGTAACTATCAGAGATCAGTAACTCAGCAGTGTGGAACTGAGTAGGGCAGGAGAGAAATTAATGAATCTACCTTAGGTCAGGCTGCAACTCTGTAATACATGTTTGTTCTTCAACTGACAAAGTGAAGTATTTTCTAGATGGCTTTGTTCCGTTTATCTTGTTTTTCCTTATCTACTTGAATGATCATGAGGGGTGTGCTGAAAGCCTGTTAAATCATGCTGATGATGTTTACTGCCCTGGCTGCATGAGTACAAGGCTTATAACTGAACTTTGAAATTTCATAAGGAGAGATGATAGGCAAGATTAGAGAATATTAACTCCTTACTTGTCCCATCCCCTTTTCTTTCTTATCCCAAACTGTGAAGGTACCCTGACTAACAAATCTGGTAGCTCAAATAAC